TTCCTTACCTCGATCCTCTTGTAAGATCATGAACCACTTGGAGAAAACATCTCCAGAATTATTATTATTATTATTATTACAGTCACTCTCCTCTTTGGAATTGGGGCCCACCTTCTTCTCGTAAATTTCATCATCGTCGTCGTCGTCATCGTCTTCGTCCTCGTCCTCGTCGTCGGAAGAGATCACGGCAGTCGGATAAGAGCCGAAGCAGCGGAAATCGAAACGCACGTTACGCAAGCAAGTCAAGAACTGCATCACGTCCTTCTTGAACCCTAGCGCGTCCGTCCACGCGGACCTCTTCTTCTGCTTCCTGTGATTATGCAGCCTCTCGATCTCTTCCATCACCGACTGCCAGTTCTTGCACGAGCTCGGCTTGCTGGGCCGGACTTTTATCTGACCCGCACACGTCACTTTCGGTGACGTGGGCTCAGACATGTCAGAGTTCTGATGATGATTAGAAGCCTTCGTTTTCGCCCACAACACTGGGCTAGCATGGCCGCCGCCGCTGGATTTATTCCTCCGGTGATGATGAGGAAACGGCTGAGGGTGGTGTTGGCGAGGGTGGTGCTGGTGGCGGCGCGTGGATGTGTCCGACGGCCGAGATGGACTGCAGATTGGCTTCGGCATTAGCCGTAGATGAGCTCTGGTCGGAAAACAAACAAGTAAATCAGCAGAAGGTGGTCCTTTGCCTGCAGCTTCTCTACCTTTCATACTTGTCTGTAATTTATTACTAAAATTTCTTCTTCTTCTTAAGAGAGTTAGTTTTGGGTTAATAATCCTCGAAAACTGTGGGGATTATTTTATCCTGTGTTTGGGGATTGTGATTTATTATCAAGTTTGGATTGATGAGTACTAAATTTAAAAGAAACGAGAGGGGTATGATATATGATATGAAGCAGTGGGAGTACAGCTTTCCTTTTGTGACTTTTTCTAATATGCCTTTTTTTTTTTCTTTTTATATATTATATTTATATATATTGTTGACACTTAAAATTTTGGATAATTAATTAATTAATTAATAATCCGAACAAATCGTTATTTCAAATTTACGAGAAAATGATCGGGGGAATTCGAGAGACTATGTAACCATTTTTCTTAATAATAAAGAAACTCGGAGTCACATATGATCACTACTACTAACTAATATGCATGCACTGAATAAATAAATTATGTGCGACAAGCTCGAATATCTAAATTTTAACAAATTAAAAAAGTTTGTGGGAGGCTTCTTTACCAGTTGTTAGTTACATAATTGTTTGGTTTCTGAAACACTCCTTTTTGCACGAAATGGGGCCCCACTTCTCACAAGTGAGTGACCTTTTTAGTTTTTCCACTTCTTTAATTTAATTTTTTTTATTTTTGAAAAAAAACTTTAATTTAATGTGTTAGAAGGAAGCACTTTACTTTTAGGCCAAACAATGTCAAATATAAAAAAGAAGAAAAAAAGGAAAGTTGGTGACCACGAGGCTTGTTTCATGATCCTATCATCATTCATAATTCGACTCTGGTGGGCCCCACGCCAGATAGCTCTTTCTTTTTATTTCCCCAATTATATTATATTATATTATTAATTAATTATATGCATTATATTATTGATTATCTCATATGTAAAGTTGCTACTGCCAAGTAACGTTTTATTGGCTTTTTAGCAACTAATATTTAGGTGTTTAGGTGAAAGATGCTTTGAGATGTACTAGTTGGCAGAGTGGTGAGGGTTTTAACTTTAAATAATGCTTACAAAATATAAAATGACAAGATTTGCACACGTCCCAATAAGGATCTAACTTACATCTATTAATCTAAAAACTATAAATAATCCATTTAATTTTTCAAATTATATGGATTTATTTATATTATTTTTAAATTTTCTCTCCTATAGAGTATGACGTTACCACATTATTATGTGATCACATTTGGACCAATAGATTCATCATACTTACAAATTTGTTGACCACTTGTTTGGATTGATTCACATAACTATTGATTTTAAGTTCTTACACTTTCATTTGAGCTATTTTTTGAATTGTTCAGGTTAACTGATGTAGGTGGTGTTTGTAAAAACTTTTAGAAATAGATTGTGAGTTTTTTTTTTTTTTTTTTTTTTTTGCATATAATTTGTTTTTAATTGCTTCTCTTTTCAAACTATAATTTTAGTTGATTTTTCAGTTAATTTATAAAAATCTCCAACTACTAAAAATAAGCACTCACTTCCAACTTAATTCACAATCATAAAGTTCTATTTTTAAATAAGCTTTTGCAACACCAGCTTAATTATTTGTATGGAAAAGTTGATTGTTTACAAGTAGGAGAAAGAAAAAGAAATATTTTAATAGCAACAAATAAAATAAAATAAAAGGGTTAATTGTTTAATTAAAGGTGATTAAGAGGAAATGATGAAAGGGTTGATGGCACTTGAGAGCATTAGCTACTATATGGGCCCTAACATCCATTATCTAAATATTGCTTTCGGATTAGACTTATCAACTATGCTTCCTTTCATTAATTAGATCAACATATTTTATATCTTTATTTTATACCAAATTCTAATAATTTCATGGGAATTAAATAACTTCTAGGAACCTTCTTTTGCACAATTGAACTTTTCATCTATGCTTAAAATGATTTTTTTAATGCATAAATATAATATGTAATTTCACTTTTATCGATCTTATATTTATCTTAAACTTATAATATAATGCCCTATCAACCGTCGTTAGAAGAATTGATACTTAATCTTGATATTCAGGACCAATGTCTAGGGATCAAATTCTATGCTTTGATACTTACCCATTTGTAACAGAATTTGTATTTTGTATAAAAAAAGATTGATTTTATAATATTTTCATTATGTATGTCATAAAGGGAATGAAGCAAATCATTATTTATTTAATTTTCTAATGTTTCAAATAATTAGAATTTATATTATTTTTGGGGTGTTATGCCAAATACAGTTCATCTCTATTTTCGCATTTTCTTTTTTCTAGATGGAGGCCAGAGGGATCCTCATTCAAAGAATTCTTATTTATCAATAAAATATTAATTTATAAATTAGTCCTAACTCCTATATCATTACTTTTTAAAAAATTAAAATTAAAATCGATATCTCTGGAATTGAAATTGAGTGCTTCTATATACGATCTCCAATGAAATTGTAGTGCCAATGTTTTCTTGTCTTGAACCATTTGTAATTATTTAACAAGCATAATCTTTAATGGTTCAAAAAACAACTTTTAATCTTCCTACATTCTATGTCAAATAATGATCACGTTTCTATATTCAAACATATCCACTCATGTAATTTGCAAGCTACTACACGATTGTGAAAATTCACCTAAGTCAACTATTCATAGATTTATCCGTAATTAACTTCCATGGAATCGAGATTATTTATATTAACTTGAGCAAATTAAAATAATTTATCAAAATATCTAAACAAAAATATTAAATAAAAAATATTATTTGGATTTTTTTTAATAATTTAAGAAAAATTCCATGCATAATTTAAATGTGGGCCAATGTTACTATAATAGGAGTTGTAAGGAGCACTTTTTCTACAAGGCCCATTACATTTTAATACCGTTGAAAAAATTGGGCTTTATAGGGTTTCCCCCAAAATTCAATTTTTCCCCCTTCGAATTTTGAAGAACCCTAAACCCTCTCTTCCGATTTACTGAGAAAGATTTGAACTTTCACGCCATTTTTTCAGTAGAATAGTTTCTCCGACGCAATTCATCGCAATGTTTCTGCAAATCCGCAATAATGCTGTTCACTTCTCCAAGAATTATTCCTTACGAACTCGCAACTCCCATTTTCCTTTCCCTCTTCTTTCTCTTGTCCAATTTTACTCCAAATCTAGGGTTGAGAAACAGAGATCCCCTGCAATTTTCGAATTATTGCTGCACAAGCACAATTTCTGCCCCGAAGCTGCTTCACAAGTCGCCACGTGTTTAACCCTAACCCGCCTGAAAACCCTCGAGAAATTCGACTCCACGCTGTCGTTTTTCAAAGAGAGCGGCTTTTCAAACTCCCAGTTGGAGAAAATGCTGAAGTACAGGCCTACTCTGCTCTCAGCAAATCCCGACAAGGTAATCAAGCCCAAGATCAAACTCTTCCAAGACTTGAATTTTTCTGCTCAAGACATAGCTGAGATAATCACTAACGATCCCGATATCATGTACCGTAGTTTGAACAATCGAGTCGTGCCCTCGTTGCTCGTGTTGAAGGAATTGCTAGGGTCTAGTTTGGAGGTAGCTAAGGTTTTGAAGATTTCCGGGTGGTTCTTGAAATCTGATATAGGCAAGACTATGGCTCCCAATATTGAATTCTTGAAAAATTGTGGTATAGCTGTTGAGCAGATTAGTTGGCTTATGTATACTTATCCGAGGTGTCTCCTTTGTAAGCCGAAAAGTATGATTAAGTTTGTTGGTAGGGTCGATGAAATGGGAATTAGTAGGAGTTCGAAAATGTTCATTCACGCCATACGTGTGCTTAGTTCGATGACGGACGAAACTTGGGAACAGAAATTGAAGGCTTTTAAGAATCTAGGTTTTTCCGACGAAGACATAGTGGAAACTTTTAGAAAGGCGCCTCAGGTTTTTTCTGTATCGGAAGAAAAGATGAAGAAGTTGAAGGAGATTTTGATTGCGAGTGGGAAATATGATTTTTCGTGTGTTATTAGTCACCCAACGTCACTTATTTGCAGCGTTGAGAACAAGTATAAGCCGAGGCTGCAAGTTTTGGGGGTTTTGGAAAGTCGTAATCTGATTAAGGAATGGCCTAGTTTTCCAGGGCTATATAAAATGCCCGACGAATCTTTTGTGAAGAAATACGTTAGACCTTATTTAAGAGAAGTTGGTGATCTGCATAAAGTCGGGAGTTCGTTCTGTGGTAAAAACGGCTTGTGAAATTCTACAACCGTTGAGGCTTACGCAGTCTGTTCAAAGCACTAAACTGCAGATTATTGCTCTCCTTGCTTAATGTTCACATGCTTTATGTAATTTCTGTTGTAAACGATACGAGCAGATATCGTTGCTCTGAACATTTTATGTAAGATTGTTTGATCAAATTTTTATGTGGTGAAATTAATCAAATCAAGAAATGTAAAGGAATAATTTGATATGTACCTTTT